AAGTAAAGATAAGCACAGAAAACTCACAGTAATTAATAATACTTCACCAAATTTATTTCCCATAATTACTACTGAGATATTCCATTGTTATGATAATGTGAAGCATGTTTACTTATTAGAATCGAGTGATACATTCTGCTAACAAAAGGATGATTACTAAGAAAGTGGGATCAGGATAGTGAACCGATAAATTCATAGCCACGTTATAAGGTTTTGTATCTTTATATTGGAACGACACTGAAATATTTACAATGACTAAAAATTCTAGCAATATGTCTTTAACGAATTTTGTAGGAAGCTCGCCACATCTGCGACCGAAAACTAAATGTTTTGCCTTTTAGAGAACATTAGGGCCGAAAAAACGATTTTGAGTGTCAAAGCAGGCTAATATTTATTTTATTTCCCATCACTTTTTGAATCGATACCAGGCCAAGTTGCTTCACTGCACAGGGCCATAGTATGTCCTTAGACGTAGGTCCAATCTGGTAACCAGATAATATTTTTGTTGCAGAGCACATCAGTCGATGTGTTTGCCTCTATATACTGTCATAGATTTCATGGATTTTCAATTTTAATGGCATTTTCCCTTCAGGACGTATGTGATTCTGATAGGCTACAAATTTTTTTATTATTTGTGAGTTGTCATGCATTACCGGGAAAAAGAATGTATGTTTCCATTGCTTTCTCCACAATTTAAAATTGAGAGTTTTCCTTCACTTAGACTGTCATCCAAGTCGCGGAGAGGTGGAAAGAGAATCAAATTATTATGCCCCTGACGGCCGACGTACGCACGATTCACAGACTTTTAGTATTATATAGCTTAATGAAAATCGGGAGATTAATTGTTTCTATGCAAGGAAACATTTCGCATTCATTGACCAAAGAGTTGGTGCTACTGTCGGTCTAGGTGTATAACCTCTTTCTCTTAAAATGTTTTTCAGGAAAATCGGTTTCTCCCGTCCACTAACTGTTATCGTTCTTTCGCGTACTGACAATGGTTTCCTCTTGTTTAAAGCAGTAAGCAAAGTCGGCGGAACCCTAGAAAAATCATTCTGATTTGATATCTTCAAATATTCTTATTTTCGAAATCTGTAACCAACCAGGATCACTACCCATTGTAATTGTGTACCTCTTGGTAGAAATCGGTTCTTGAACTCCTTTCTTTGTGTCTTCTTTACTGGGTGATTTAATAATTGCCACATGTAAATGGAGAATATCTTTTAAACTTAACAACTTCTGGAAGCGTGATGCTTGCTTTCTTTTTTAGTTTTGTCTCTGCTCTCAGCTTAGCGCTGAGGATATTGTCATGTGTGAATAAAACGCTTCTGTCAGTCGTCAAATATATTCTTCTTTTTGACGTTTCGCACATGAATGATATATTTAGGTGTTTATGCACAAAGAGGTGTGTGGAGGAAGGCGCTTGTGTATAATTGTGTATAAATACATGCATAGTCTGTATACTAATTATGAAACGCAATTACTTTACACAAAATATAATTATTCATCTACACAGCTTTCCTTTGTAATGCGCTTAATCAAAAAATTCGCTTACGACCAGTTGACGTTGAAACACCGTTTCCGGCACGATCACCGAAGTTAAGCAACATTCAGCCTGGTCAGTGCCTAGATGTGTAACCATTTGGGAATACAAGTTGATGTAAATTTGGATATACGGGTGGTGTAATGGATAATGGCTCGAGATTGTTAATCGGAGAGCCGTGTTCGAATTTGGGCTGGTTTCTTTATGTTCATTTTGATAAATACACACTTCTTCCCCCCATCTATAGGTTTGGGAAATAGCAAAACTTGTATTATAAAATGATTATCTCCCCCACCCAACTCTTACAATCTAATAATAGTTTCTGGCTTTTGATAATCTGCAAAAGTTTGATGACCCGTAGAAAACGAATTGGTCAGCAATCAATTAAAACAGCCAATTCTGCGCCCACAGTAAACACATAGATTGAATATTAGATTTAAAATTCAGATTACAAACCACCTTTATAACCATATGCGGATACGAACTAATATATATATATATATATTTGTATATATATATATATATATATATATATATATATATATATATAGCTTTAAGCATTATTTTTAGTGGATACTCATATTTGAGAAGATGCTTCTTTTATTTATTAAGCAATATATTTTTGTCTACTGACCTGAATATTCGGATCCTGCTGTAGAGCGCGTATTTTTAATAAAGATTACTTGAATATTCAGGCCGGTAGACAAAAAATAAATTGAATAAATAACCGGACCGTCTACTCTAAGATTTCTCTTACATCCCCACCTTTGTATATCGTAACATAAGAGTAGTCTTTGAAGCAAAAGAAACAAGCAAAGGATGTCGATAATTTTAACAGCGAAATTTCTATCTGAATTTCTGGGATCAGGAGCCATCATTATTTACGTTATTTGCATTCAGACTAATATCATGTGTTTCGTCATATTGTGTATATTTTTATTTAATATCTATAGTTTTCCTTTAAAATTGTAATTTGTTATAGATATTATCTGGAATTTCGTCCAGATCTTCATCTGATCTTAAAATGTTTCTCGGAACGTTACAATTGAATATTACTTTATTTCTGTTCATTCTGAATCTATCTTGAGACTTCGCTTAATCATGTTCTTCACTCCGTGTTATAATTCAGCTGATAATTATTTTGAATCGCATACAATTTGAACTTGTTAATAACAACGGATACAAAGAATTACATCCGATCCCTCCATTTTTGTTTTCTATAGATAATTTGTATAAAGTTAAACTCTTACAAACGTTAATAAAACTAACGTGGCCGTTGATCTCGAAAATGACCTCCAATCTGTTGTTAACTGGGGCAAGAAATGGCTAGTTAACTTTAATGCCTCAAAAACAAAACTGCTCTTTTTTATCCACCACAGGGAGTCCTCCTTGCCTCTCATTAGAATGTCTGATGCTCAACTCCACGAGAACACCTCTCTGCAACTGCTTGGTCTCACTGTCCGTTGACATGAGATGGAACAAATACAGTGAATCAATAGCTTCATCTACCGCAAGGAAAGTTTTTTCTATGTGTTGCGCTTGAAAGTTTTTTCTTGCCCGGGCCCATCCTTTAAATCTATGAATCAACCACTCGTCCTTGCATGGAATACTGCTGCCATATATGGTCTGGAGACCCCGCTGTTCGTCTTCAGGTCCTCGACAAAATCCAGAGACGGATATGCAATGTAATTGGCCCAGATCTGGCATCTTGTTTACAGTCGCTCTCACAGACGTACCGCCGCTTCCCTCTGTCTTTTCTACAAATAACGGTAACTGCTCCGATGAGCAACTTTCGCTGTATGAATTTAAACGTGCTACAAGGTTGACATCTCAGTCCAATCCTTTCACTGTCGAAACGGTTAAATGTATCCGTCTCTTTTACTGCAATATCTTCATGTTTCGCACATCCCGTCTTTGGAACACACTTCCTCTTACTGGCTTCCCTGATAGCTATAATCTTCAATTATTCAAATGCAATGCCAGTCGACATCTTCAGATGCCTTGATCTATCCCTTGTCCTTATCTTCATCCTTTCCTCTATCACGCCTCTTTACTCTTGCTCCCAGTCTCTGTAACCACTTGCGCGCCAGTGGCACTCCCGCTTTGCTTGGGGTGAAATGCTTAAAATATATATAAAAAAAAAAATTACAACATATTAAATATTAGCTAGCTGGAATTTATCTAGTGACGAACTTTAAAGTATATTTTCCCGCTGGTCAATTGGTAGACCATTTAAATCACATTTGATAAATTTGGCTACCGTAGAGCAACGTTTGGTAGCTTCCCTTGTTTAACGTCTTTTATTTTTAGCATTTTTATCATTCTACTGTTTTATGTTAGGCCAAAAATCTGTTGTCGAACAAAGGTGATCTATTACGTGCCACAAATAATTTTTCGAGATGGTAGAATTCAACGCCCCATCAATTTGACTGTGTGAAAAATTATACAAAATTGAGAACGTCACTGCAAAGAAATGGTTAGCAAGCTAGTCTCGAAGAGAATTAACAAGAATGGTAAGCTCAATTCTCTACGGTGGCTTCTCTATAAAATTGCACGTACGAGACCGTGCTAAACTCAGTAAATGCATCCACACAGAAACTGGCAACCAAAATAATCTCTGAGAGACTCTGGGTGTCATTAATTCGTATCCTACTCTAAACCTTACGACAGGCTCTTTGTCTACATATTTGTTTGCTATCTATTTTTTTATGTACTTGAGTTACCATTCATAACAGATTCTGTAGAACAAAAGAAAAAAACATTCTTATTGACCAATTTCGATTCGAAAGAATAAGTGTCAGGTTCGCCTATCGAGAGTTGCTCGAATTATTGAGATCCTTCCTTTATTTTTTTCTTCCCCTCATGTTTCTAGAATTCACCAGTCTTAAACCCGACAGGCTTTGCATCTGTAGCGAAATGCAAAAGGTGAGGTATTTGGTTCAGTCCATCAGAAAGTTTTCGTAGATTTTGCCACTCTCTCGATATAACTATTTCTTCTCATATTATTGCAATATGTTAACCTGAGACTATTTGGGGCCAAGACACTTAAATCTCTTGCACAAAAAATGTTTCGTCTTTTTTTTATAACACAAGTTTATCTCTTAATTTAATGTTTTTTCAAAATAGACTGTTTTGAAGGCGCGACGCAGAAATGTTGCGACAGAACTGTGATCTAAAAAATAAGCTAGCAACTTATTATTAAGAAACATTGCCTGTTTCTTAATACTTTACTTACCTTTTGAAAGACATCTTTCAGTGTTGCAAGAGGAATCGTATCATCCGCATTTACTGATTGCTTCAAATGTAAAATTAAGATCCACTCAAAATCTTTACCTGCTGAGTTGCCATTTATAAGACAAAGATCTTTCAAGTTCCTTGTCTCTGTTAGTCTCTCTTTATCTGTTAGTCTCTCTTTATCTGTTAGTCTCTCTTTATCTGTTAGTCTCTCTTTATCTGTTAGTCTCTGTGTGTGTCTCTCTCTCTCTCTCTCTGTGTGTCTCTCTCTCTCTCTCTGTGTGTCTCTCTGTGTGTGTGTCTCTCTGTCTCTGTCTCTCTGTCTCTCTCTGTCTCTCTGTCTCTGTCTCTCTGTCTGTCTCTGTCTCTCTCTCTGATATATATATATATATATATATATAGTATTACAACTTGCGTCTATCGCTTTTTAAAGCGAAACCTCTGCTTGTAACTGCTGGATTCCCTTACTGTCAATCTGCTTTATAATCTGACCACTAGTTTATTATTTGTATTTCCTGACACCTGCATTTTAACTTTCTTCCACTTTGAAGAACTCTGTTGTGCCTTAAAAATTTCGCTCCTTTGCCCGGCCACTTTGCTAAGACACGTCGCTCTTAACAAGGCATAAGCGGTCGAATAAAGAAATGAATGAATGCAGTGAAGCCTGGCCGAGTTAAAACCAGTGATATTTTTTTTGAAGTGATGTTATGACTGTTGTGGTTTTGCGTATATCCGAGAGAAAGAGAGAAGAAAAAAAAAGAAACAGTGAGAATAGAATACGTACTGCATGTCCTTGTTGTTGCTGCTGCTGCTACAGGTCCTTTTGTTACAATTGTTGTTAATATGAGAAGATGTGGAAACGATCGTTGTCCCACACGCCGATTCGGACGTTAACAACAGAGGAAAGGGAACTGCAAAAGGAAATACAATCTAACAAACCTGGAGAATCCAGTCGAATAACAAAAGTAAGATATTTTTCACTACCCTTACTTAATATTAATATTTTTTGGTTCGATATTTAGCGCTACTAAAAATATATTGAAAACTACATGTTTTTGTCATATGTGCGGAAGCATAGACGTATAAAATATTACACAGAAAGCGAACGCGATATGAGACAGAAAATAAATCTCAAGAATTGGTTAAGTTTTGAGTCGTCCCATAGTTAAGATGTTTTCCTTTAAATTTTAACCAAATGGTTGAAAGTTTTCCAAATATACAAGAAGAAACACACACACACACACACAAAATATATATATATACACACACAAATTCAAGAATGTAAAATATTAACTAATGTTATTTGTGTTTGTGTATATATGTACACACACACACACACACACACACACGTAATATTGAAATATGAAAGCTATTGTGTAGCAATGTAAAATTTTTTATTCTATTAAAATAAATATATATATATTCTTGGAAAACTTCCAACAATTTCGATGAAATTACAGAAAAAACTATGAAACGACGAATTTTTCCGATTCTTGAGGTTTATTTTCTGTGTGAATAGTGTGTGTGTATATATATATATACACACACACACACACCCTATTCACCGAGAAAGTATCCCTTTCATTATGAGAGACTCGGCTTTCAGCAGATGTTGATCTGTATGTATTCACGATATTATATATATATATATATATATATATATATATAGCGTATATTTTGGTAGCATATTTTCATTAATACATGTCTCATTAAATAATTTAGACAAATTTGTCTACTTATTTTTATTAGGATCATCTCGTAATTACTGACAAATTTCTTAGTTTCCTTACTGAAGGATGAAAGCAAATCACTATGCTGATGTATATTCATTTGTCCATAAAAACAAAGACATTGTGCTAATGCCTAAAGTACTCGAAATAAAATGAATATCACTCAACATAATTTTCTTTCTTCCTTTGATAAGGATACTAAGAGGCTTGCTCAACAAGTCTCTAACTTTCACGAACATATCCTGTAATTATCAAGTTAGTTTTATGTAACCGTTTAAAATGCATATGTATATATGTATGCTCAACTTTCCTTACTCTGAGTTTCACAGAGATGTAGCCACCTGTCAGAGCTTGGTTGTGAAATTGAATTTAAGCAAATCGTATTTTTTGATATGGGCACTATTTATATATATATATATATATATATATATATATATATATATATAATGTATACCACAATTCCTCCTCTATAATACGCCTTTATCCATAATACGCAGCCCTAAAATTGTGCTGAAAATATGGGAAAATGCTTCTACTCAAGCATAATACGCACCCTTTGTTTGGTAAACGATCCCTATAAATTGTACCTCTCCAATTTCATTACGGCCAATGTTTCCCACTCTTATAAAAAATGGTTTTAAACATAGAATAATATTAAAATTTAGTTTTATGATAATCCTTATTTTATCTTACATTTGTAAGTATTGTTAGGTACATATGATTGTATTTGACATCCTTATGGGATCGCAATCGTCGAATGTTAGTGTCAAATTGTCGTATGTTTGTGGTGAGTAGTCATTTCGCAATTGAAATCGACCTATGGGACAACAATTATTTAAAGTTTTTTTTGTAGCTGTGCATAATACGCACCCCCTAATTTTGCTTATTTTTTTTTTTTTTTTTAGAAAAAATTGCGTATTATACATGGGGGGGGGAATTACGGTTTATATATTTTAAGCGAATCACACCGAGTCAGGATATAATACCAATATTTAAATGGAGTGAAAAAGAATGAGGAGAATAAGAAAGAATCGGAAATCCAATCTTAAACAAGAAAGAGTAGATGAACTTCTACTACTTTCCAAAAAGTCGGAGAGGAGTGTGAACTGGACAATAGTCGAACCTGTGAACTAATATCTATTTTTCAATATTTGGTATATTTAATGTTTATATATTAAGTAATATCTGTTATCATTTTCTAACGTTAGCGTTTTTATCTGGCATATCCTTTATATTGCATCATATTTTGAGATATATAATGTGTGTGCCATCTACATTTTTTATTTCGATTTTTATGAAGAGAAAAGTAGATACGATAATAAATCCATCGATTTACATATAAACTTAGGCATTTTTTCCATAGTTCCTATGAGGACCACAACTCATTCAAAATATCCAATTCAAACCTCACTCGGCTGTCCCCTTTGTCATAATACCAAGGCAGTGAGCGCTCTAGACTTATACAGAGAAATACACGGTGGCATCTATGTCGGTTTGTATATGCACATGTTTTGGGGGTTTGGTATAGTAATGCATATCAGCACAAATCCAGAGGGGGGGATACTTTTTATTACCTTTGCATTTACTAAATATACTCTCTCTCTCTTATATATATATATATATATATATATATACTGTGTATATGTGGGAACTCTTAATAAATGCAAAAGTAATAAATAGTATCCCCCTGACGCTGAATGTGTTCAAATTTTGTGTTAAGCTTTACCCTACCTAAACCCATCACATGTGCATATACAAACCGGCATATATATATATATATATATATAAGGAGCAAATGGGGGAAACCATTATGAATTTTATTTTTCGTTATCTATTTAAATTGACAGGAAAGAAATACTGATGCTAATTAATGAAGCTGAATAAATTGCAAAATTTTTTTAAAAAAACCTAAGGTTTTCATATTTGGCCCTTAATCTTTTTGCCTACTCACTGTAGATAAGCTGAGATAATCATCAAGTGAATAACCGTTTACGGGCAGCCCATGCTGCAAGCAATTTAAATCCATCTGCAAAACTAAGTAAATAACACACACATATATAATATATATATATATAATATATATATAATGATAAAAATGAACTTATACGCTATATTTATGCGTAGAAATACTAAATCTCAGTGATAGACCGCAATATCTGCTGGCCTGAAAATTGCGTTTAAGCATGTGTACACTAAGACATAATTCGGCAACAAGATTTTTTTTTTTTTTTAACGTCGGGATCAATACTGTCGAAAATTCATGTTTCGTTCTCTATTTGATTCTCTACAGTTTTGATCATAACTATCATTATCATTAACTAATATATAATCTCCACCTCCCAGTAAAGGAAGTGAATATTGAAGATCATCATTTGAAATTCTTTATCTGAATTAGGATGCGAAACGCCTATAGCACATCCGCTACCATTGAAATTCATGTACACACACACACACATATATAAACTTTGGGTGTTATTTTAAAAGAATTTTCTAAACACTGTTTTTTTAATCTCTTTCTAAATAGTTAGATTGCACACTGTTTACGTACCAGCTGGTATATCGTAGTTAGAAAAATTGATAATAAAAAAAAACTGTTCCTACATACTGTTCAATCTAGACATTTCTTATTGAATAAAAACATGAATTCGTACGCTGGTTCCAACTAGTGGCATGATTCTTGCTCGCTCTAAATTTGCATCGGATATTTTAAAACAAAAAACATATGTGTAGCTTTTATTTTATATATATATATATATATTTTCTTAAATTATGATACTTCCTCGATTATTCGGAAAACTTGGGACAGTGGCTGAAAAATGATTAGATGATTCAAAATTCCGAATAAATGAAGACAGAAATTAACGATAAAGAAAAACATATTCTGAAGGAAATTTAACATATAAAATAATATTTTCAAGCGCTTTGCTAAAGATTTTGTCCAGTTGATTTTTTTTTTTTTTTTTTTGTAATGACAAAACAAATGTTAAATAACTTTTCTGTGTACTGGACAAGCAAAAAGATATGCCATTTTTCGTAGAGGCATGGCTCCAGTGTGTTAGACAAATGCAAGAGTTACGTAAGATATCATTTCTGGCGTAATCAAAGTTGTGATAATTCAAATGCCTGTTCTTTGTGTGAAAACGAGAAAATTAGCAAAGAATTTAACTGATTTCATCAGTGTTTGTTTCCCCCAAACTGTTTAAGTTTACATTATTTACATTGTTCGGACTGTTGTTCTCATCTTAGTTGCCATCTTCACAGTATTTCCACCGTTGTACGCTCTGTCTTATTTCAGGTGATTTGAATTTTGAACTGAACCCTTTATTTCGTCCACTGGAATAGATTGTTCTAATTCCACGTGCCATATTTCTTTTGAGTATTTCAGACGAAATAAAGGGTTTATTTCGAAATTTCAATCAGCGTCCAACGGTCGAAAGTTCGAGAATATGGAAACAAAGATGAGTCCGAACAATGTAAATAGCGTAATTAATTAAAATACCTAATGTCAGAAATATAGACAGGTAAATGTGGGTTTTCTAAATTCTCAAAACGCATGTACGAGACGAAATATTAAAATAGGTTTAGTTCAGATAATTTAATTTTCTTCTGATGATTTCAGTTTTCTCTTCAATTCATGTCTGTATAAT